ACTGATATGTCCAACAACTCATTAGTGAGTGCATGGAGGAAGACGTTTCAAGTGATGTAAATGGTGTTTTCAACAAGACTTGATATATCTCTCACATTCTATCGGTAAGCAACATAGTAAGTAAAACACAAAAGTGTCTGTAACATAGTTAAGCTTTTCGTTATCTAACTCAAAAACCCTCACTGACCAGTATTCTTCTGACACTTCCCCCTACTCGACTAGTACAATTATATTCCAAATCAACGATGCTGGATGAAAGTGAGTCTCAGTAAAATTAATACTCGAGAAGACTCTACGATATTCTTCAATTTTCATATGACGTTGGTTGACTAAGATCAGGTCAGTCAATGTGTTCCAGCATAATCCTGAATGAGACAAACATGCTTTGATCCACTCTATGTCCTGCTAACAGACACATTCCATGTGATTAATCTGTTCAGCTGACAAAAATCACCACTCATTTAGGGATTTGGCTAATTCAATATCATTCAAAAAATATAATAGAGTTTTGATCGATTATACACTTTTAACAAGACCATTCACCAAAGTCTTATACTTCCCTGTTTCCACAACAATTTACTTGGTTTTCTGTGGGTAGTTAAAATGAGATCTATCATCAGAATAGTTGTGCATAGTACAATTCGACTGAGTGGCTAATAATTGATTGCACTGTTTTGGCCTCATTACCATCAATGAAAAATTCATACTTAATCATGATGTTGTTAGCATTTAAGATTCAGTAGTTCTTTGAATAGAAAATCGGTGTTTGAAGCATATATCGTCGGAATGGGACCTCTGTATGAAAGCTGACATTGGAATACAGATACAGTTAGCTGGTTTATCTCCTAGTCGAAAGTCATTAGGCATATCATAAAACTAAGTGTCACTAATCCCAGTAATTCAGTGGGGAACAAATTCACTTGTCTTACTTAGATACTAGAACATATCTGAGCACCACATGTAGTATCCTCTGTATATTTATGACCTGCATAATTGTATCAATGTAATTTCAGTCCAAGTGCACAATCATACAATGCAAACATATAGAAACGAATACATGCAATGAAAGCGTTGACATCCAGCACTTTACAACGTTATGGTAGAGATTTTCAGAGCATCTTAATTGTTTCAATGACAACATTCGTGAACTATTTTGGTAATAAAATATTAAAACACTGTCTGTTTTTCAATGAAACAGTTGTTTGTGAATTACTAGTATCCGTTTGAAATGTACGTAATGATCTATGAAACCGCAGTCATGTACACAATTCTATATCTGATCAGTGATTATGTAAACTTTCAGGTTGTCAAGGAGATTAGTTGTACCTGAATAAATTCAACAGATCATATAATGCACGCAAACACACACACACAAATACACGGTTCCATCTAACACATTTCGGATTGCTCGGAGATTATGAAATCGAAACCATCACTGCCAAAACGATACATTGAGCATTCGGTAATTTCACTACAAATCAGGACTAACAGTTAATTCGCCATTGAAAGAACATACTACTTCTTATGAATCAAAGTAGCACTTTTCACTTTGAATAACATATCCTTTGACTAATGACAAATATCGCTACAATGTATGATGACAAATTGAGTCGATTCGGTTTCATTCAAGTTGATTAAGAGGAAAGTACTGGATAATCAAGGAACGTTACGAGTAAGTAACTAGTAATATTCAGCGAATCAAGGTTTTCTAAAGTACTTTCGGTCTCAAGAATTTAAAAACACTTGGAAACTATCATTACCAGTTAAGATACGTAGACTAAACTACGAATAACTGAGAACAGTAACTCGATGGCAATATTCACCACTAGGAAGATAAGTGGGATAGATTTCAAGTGAACATGGAAAACATAGGTTCTCGAGAGCGGAAAGAGAATACATGAATAATGGCTTAGAGTAGAGTCCTGGAGATGCATTTATATTTCTTTGAGATTAGTCAGATGGACGTACAGAGATCCAACAACCGACGTTCACTTTGGAGTTTTGACTCAGAACCTTTAACTTCAAACGTCAATCCATTATCCAATTATCTTCTGAGTTCAGATATCCATTCACTTAAATTTTAAGTTATTCTTTTAATGGTTTGAATTGTCTCCCTCCTTCTTAAGAGATATGAATCTTGTTGAAATGTGACAAACAGTACACAACATTCAAGAGGAAAGTGAAATCCTTTGTCTTCACTAGACATATCAATGGACCATTATTTAAATGTGACCACTTTGTTCCTAACCGAATCTATCAAATGGTATTTGAACTAGATTTCTTTACTGAGTTGGCTTCCATTAAAACCTTAGTATGACGATAGACATAATTGATGACTGATTCGTCGCAAGAAAATATTTGCTCCTTACAATTTCATTCATTCTCTCTTTAGTGGGTCTTAAGTTTCACATCAAATATACACATATACATATTAAGAAGGCAGATAAGTAACGACATTCGACAGATATTTTGTGTACTGCAATGTGGTAATACTGGAAAAAACACAACGTCTAACTCTTCCTTGAAATCGTAATACATACCCACCTCAGCAATGCAGTTTATTCAACGAAGCACTAAAGTAACAATCCCCCTAGACTTAGTTACTTACGCCTGTTACTCCTTGTGGAGTAGAATAGTTCAACCACCAGCACTGTCCATCCACTTCTGTCCTGGAAAATCCTTTTCAGCTCTTTTCAGTTGTTATTCATCCTTTTCAGATCTGCTTATATTTCTTAACGTAATATCTTCTTCGGCCTCCTCAGTTTTTCTGCTTACCTTCAGGAGTTCAAGTAATTGCCTGTCTTGAGATGCATTTGATGATTTCCGTAATATATGTCCTATCCATTTCCATCGTCGTTTCCTAATTTCCCTTTCAGCTGGAAGCTGGTTTGTTCTCTCTCAAAATAGGCTGTTGCTGATCCCCTTTGGAGTTATTATTATTTCATCTGGACATTGTATGAGAACAGCCGCTAAAAACATGAAACTCATAATACTCACACTCAATAAGTATACAAGCGGGTTGTATATGAAAGTGTGGAAATTGATTCAAAGAATATTTGGTGATTCTAACTCAAGTTGACTTTATCTTTTTGGTTAACGACAACCAGCAAAACAAACATAATTGAATGCATTTAAAGGTCATTTAGGTAAAACTATGTTGATGAAGTAACTTTCCATTTGATTCACCTTAACTATCAAGGTGATTAGTTTATTGAACTCATTCAAAATCAATTCTTAACTAACCACCGTTTAGTTGGATCAACATCAGATTGAATTTCAAAAGATTTGAGTTCTAAAGAATATAGATCAATTACCCTATGATATTCAAACTAGTGTTCTACCTAACAACATAGAGTAGCCATGGATAGGCAATTAGCTGAAAATTAAGGATCTAGTCAGTTATCTATTCAAATTAACTTTCACTGAAATTCAGATAAGTTCATTTGATAGTAGTGTAAGTTGATTGCATATTACAACTTCTGTTGTTAGAGGGACATAGATTAGATTAAAATAGTATCCTCTGCACGATTGTGTTGGTGAACACTAATTGGCTATTGCTTATTCAATCAGCACTAGTCGATACTTAAAGAACAATCTAGAATATTCTCATTGTAAAAAGCTATAAATACACTCATGTTTCTCTTATTGTACTTCTTACTTCCATCTACCCTTACTATTTGGAATATAATTTCCATGCTGATCAATCGTGTTCTGATTTGAAGACTTGTCAAGTGAATCGATGTCCAATAATACTAAGCAATCCCAATAGCTGACCTGTAATAAGAGAGAATTATAACATGGCATAGAAAAGGGGTTTCCTGTAATCTTGTGAGAACTGGTGCTCCCTGGCAGATTAGATCTTGTGTCACCCAGCTTCACAGTTAGAGACGTTAACACTGAGCTACTCGAGCCACGACCGACCTCCTGTAGGACTGAGATGTAATCACAATTGATTGATCACTGAGTGGTGATCAATGTCATACATGTCTAGTCCTTATTAGTTCAGAGCGAATGCTATCGATCATGTTGCAATGTGGCCACCAGTCTGGGTGACACGAGATCGAATCCGCCAGGGAGCACCAGTTCCCTCAAGATTACAGGTACACCTTGCTGACGAGTGTCAAGTAGCACGATACTCGGATCCAAGGTTTTCTGTCGACTACTTCCAACCACCATCTAATCTCAATATATAGTGACCACAGTGTCGAGTCACCTAGACTGATGACCACGTTGCAACATGATCGATAGCATTCGGTCTGTACTAAATAAGGACTTGACACGCATGACATTGATTGCCACCCAGTGATCAATCAATTGTGAAAAGAGGTTTCCATTTGTAATGAATAAATAAATAAATGATCATTGTTATTTACAAACAATACAATTTTGACATATTTACGTAATGATAGAACTAAAAATTCAATATTATTTTGTTCACACAAAACATTGTCTAATTTAGAAAGATGTGTAATTTTGACCTTGCACCACAAATACCCTGATACGGTCGAGAGTGTGGGGTGTTTAACCTCCCTTTCAAAATACTCTCTCATATACACCCATGTACAGTCACTGTCAGGGTAGTCCACCCCACTGTTTTCTAGCATTAGAGGTGTTATTTACGAAAATGTGAGGACGAAATGTGATTATCCTGAGCAGTAATCGGGTTGGTGAGGATGATGGTGGTGACAGAACTAAAAATTCGATATTATTTTGTTCACACAAAACATTGTCTAATTTACAAACATGTGTAATTTTGACCTCGCACCACAAAAACCCTAGTACAGTTGAGAGTTGGCAGTGTCTACCCTCTCTTTCAAAATGCTCTCCTATGTACACATATATACAACCACTATCAGGGAAGTTCACCTCACTGCATTCTAACAGCATGGATATTGTTTATCAAATTGAGAGAACAGAAAGAGAATGTCCGACGCATTATCCGGGTTGCTGATGGCAATGACAGAGATAAAACGTTTAATATATATATATATTTTTGTTAACTTTATTCTTGGTAACACAATAGTTATATAGAATAGCTGTACAGAATGACATTTACTAGTTTCCTTTATCTTCTTCTCCTTCGTCATTCAAATGGTAGCTAATTGTTAATTATAATATAATTTTAAATATGCTAATTTTCTTTGATATCGTTTACATTCAGTCGTTGTATTAAGCTAAAAAGTAAAAAAATAGTTTGTTTATGATAAGGATCACGATCATGATCATGATGATCGTGATCATCTACATGATCATAACTAACTTACTTTATCTGTATTCATTAATATTGTACTATTGTATTGAATTTTAGGCAAATTCACAGGATGTAACATGGTATCCATTTGCCATTGTATATGTTGATCTAATTGTTTAGTTACATTATAGGTACCAACACTTTTATTTTTGGTCAATTTCATGTAACAAATAACAAGTGAACATTGTTTCCAGGTAGAAACAAACAAACAAAAAAGAAAAAAAAAGAAAAACAAAAGCTTATTACACTTGAACAATATTGATTGATTCATGAATGCAGAATTGTGAATATAGTGTAAAGCATAGAAAAAGTGCACTTGATTGCCGCAGGGGGTGGGGGTAGGAGGTGAAAGGACATTAAGAACAATAAGCTGAATAAGAAATATTCACTTTGTTGTCATAGCAACAAATAACATTACTCATTAATTATGTAACTAAATTTTAACTTTTCCACCAAAAAAAACATACTGTCTATGGAAGATAACGTTGATATTCGATAAATGTATAGTGCTTATGTTTCTTAACCTTAATACTGTAGTCAATAAGAAGGTACAAGTAGGGGACAATCAAATATGTTTGAAAACACAGATTACAAAATCACTCAATAAAATCTGAGAATTATACAGTAAATACTTCATCTACAAAATGTCAATCAATTGCCCCAGAAATCACTGTTCCTTCACTACCATTTCAATGACTTTCTGTTCCTGTTCTTTCCTGCTTGATCTTCTGCTGCCGTATATTCTATTCTTGACTAGCGTTATATATACTACTTATGTTGATATAAGTAGCAAAACACAGTACTATTTTATCACATACCGACAGATTGCCTATAATCATATCTATATGTTGTATCAAATCCAATATACTAGAGACATAAATGCTTGAGACAATCTGGATATCTAATGATAATAGGATTGTTATCATGACTGTTATTCTGTTATTTTTGGTTATATCACTCACAATAGTGTACTGGCTAAATGATTAATGAAGAAGTGAACAATAACTAACATGTTGAGATTAGATGGTGGTTGAAGGTAGTCGACAGGAAAGCCGGGTCGAGTCACCTAGACTGGTGGCTACATTGAAACATGATCGATAGCATTCGATCTGCACTAATAAGGACTAGAGACGCATGACATTGATCGCCACCCAGTGATCAATTAATTGTGATAACTAACATGTTTCGTCTATTAAGATGTTTTAAAAACTAAATATTAGTAATTGACTCTAAGTGTACTATAGACGACCATTCTGATGACAGATCTCATCTTAACTATTCACAGAAAACTAAGTAAATCGTTATGGAAACAGGGAAGTATAGCACTTTGTTGAATGATTTTATTCGTTGCATACAAATGGTTAAATCCAAAAATGTAAGTGTTAACTTTTGTCAACTGAACAGATTGGTCACATGGAATATGTCAGTTAGCAGAACATAGAATGGAGCATTATGTTGGAGTACAATGCCTAATCCATTATTAATCAATCAACAATGAGAATTAATTGATGAATCTTCTCAAGTAATGTTGTAAATATACTAGTGTTGCTCATATTGTGACTGTGTAATTGTACATTTTGCACAACTATTTTCTTTAACACAATGAATCCGTCAATAGAGAAACGAATGTACACATCAATAAAACGAATCATTCGTTGATTGTTAGTGTTATGACTTTTAAATATGGTCTCATTAATGGAACGATTAGATGTTTGAGGTGGGACATGAAGATCCTATGTTCTACCGTCCTTGAAGTCACCATATACTAGGACGAAATAGCTCTGTTAAACGGTATCACCTTATTTAGTTAATACAACTCTTCATCCATATTTGACCAACCTTGCATGTTGAAACATGCCAACTTTTATGCATACTATGAACTATTAAGTAGTATGGGTTAGCATTATCTTATTCAGGTCATGTCTTAGTTTCAAGTATCCATAGATCAATGAAAACCTATTCATAGAAGCAAAACAATGTTTTTTATTTACCCAACAGTTGATGCACCGATTAGTGATTTATCTATTCTACGTGTGGACTGATTAAATGGTACTTTATTTAGTTTGACCAACAAAGATTTGTTCACAAAATTTTGATAAGCTCCAGGATCTGGAAAATTTGAATTCTAGAATCAAAAACAAAATAAATAGGAAACATGTTTATAAACACTTTACCATAGATAAAAGTATAGTTATTATAAACAAAACATCATTCATCATATAGCTCTTGGATGAACGAATTGAAAAACAGAGCTTTGAGTCGTTTAAATGACTAAACAAAATATTCACAATGTATGTTACAGGATTATCATAAAAGTATTAGAAAAAGGTTTTGTCAACAGTCTTAACTTCATTTAAGAATAATATCTCAATGACTTGACAATTACTTGCAATGATTGGTGGTAACCTCTGACAAAATCTGATTATCTAAAATGAAATCAAATGGCACTTCATTGTTATGTAGTACACTTTATTGTAAAGTTTGAAAGTTTTTTTCAAGAGTATTTCCGATATTTGGGATAAATATCACCCATTGTCATTTGGACGTAATCTCCTATTGATAATTTACTAATGGGGGTGATAGTGAAAGATAGTGAAAGTGATAAACAAATACAACAATTAGTTTTTCTGGGAATACATATTTACAAGGTTCATTGTAAATGTCATATCGAAACGATACGAATACATTTCAATATCCATTCGGTTATTTCTTCTGGTCTGATTGCGTTAAACTTTACTTTTGGATGCATTTTCTGAGTTGTTTATAATGTATTGCTTCTTCAATGACCAGTCTCATTCTAATCTTTAATAGTTCTGTTTCAAACATCAGATGAACCAAAATATCACAAAAAAGGTAGTAACCCAGCCGTTTTAAAAACAATTAGGTTATAATATGTTTCTCTAAGTCTTTTATGACAGGATCTGTTGAATGATGTGTGTATTTTTATGCTGTTTATAATTCTATAGTGACAATCATGCCATCTACATTAATCCAGTTCCATTTTATTTCCTGTCAGTTATTACTTTGCAACTGTATGTTATTGAATTTTAATAATCAAATATGAAGTTCACTGGATCTCAGCAGCATCTATCTCACTGATAGATGCTCGGAAACTCATTCCGCCTGACTCTGAACATAATGAAGAGAGGAGTCAGCTTAAGCGCAAGCTGACAAGAAGTCTACTCAATGATCGCGAACAGTGGTGGGTAGCGAAAGCAAGAGAGATGGAAAAGGCAGTGGCAATAGGTAATAGCAGACAATTGTTCAGACTTGTTAGGGAAACCGGTATTAGGAAACCGACTGTTAGCGAAACAATCTCAGAGAGAGATGGACATATTATTCATTCTCAATCCAGGAGATTGGATCGATGGGCAGAACACTTTAGGGATCAGTTCAACTGGCCTTCAGCCACACTTCGGTTTCCCACGATCTCTAGTCAACCTGAATGGCAAGTTAATGTAGGTCCTCCGTCCCTTTACGAAGTTGAAAAAGCCATAGGAAATCTGAAACGAGGGAGAGCAGCAGGCCCTGACAGGTTTACTCCTCAGATTTTTAAGGATGGTGGTCCAGTATTAGCAATGAGATTAACCGAGGTCTTAGGTAGAATTTGGGAACTGGACGTAATCCCATCTGACTGGTCTCAATCACTGATTGTGCCAGTCTATAAGAAAGGACAAAAGTCCTCTTGTGACAATCACGGAGGAATCAGTTTGACTAATATAGTGTCTAAAATATTAACTTCAATAATACTTCGACGCCTAATCAAAGCTCGTGAAGAGCAGATTAGAGAAAACCAGGCCGGTTTTCGACCTGGATGTGGTTGTATAGATCAGATATTCACACTACGTCAGGTTCTAGAACACAGACACACATTCAGACGCCCCACAGTGGTAGTATTTCTCGACCTTAAGGCGGCATTCGACTCTATTGATCGTGAGGTTCTATGGCAGTGTTTGTCACTGAAAGGAGTACCAAAGAAGTATATTAACCTTATAAAGGCTCTCTACTCGAACACAACTGGTAGAGTGAGAGCTTATGGTGAACTGTCATCAGAATTGATTACCTCAAGTGATGTTCGTCAGGGCTGTCCACTCTCCCCATTCTTGTTCAACTTTGTGGTCGACATACTTTTAGAGATAACACTCTTCTCATCTAAATTTCCAGGGGTTGAACTTCTACCGGGAGGTTCACTTGTTGACTTAGAATATGCAGATGACATAGTTTTATTTGACGAAGACGCTGACAAAATGCAGAGTCTTCTGACCACTCTAAGCAACAATGCAAGCATGTTCGGGATGCGATTCTCTCCCTCGAAATGCAAAATGTTGCTTCAGGATTGGGTTACATCGACACCCGAACTAGTGATAGCGAGTGAAGTAGTTAAGTGTGTCGACCGCTTCACTTATCTTGGAAGTCTCATCAGCCCTTGTAGTCTGGTGTGTGACGAAATCTCAGCACGGATACAGAAGGCTCGACTAGCTTTTGCCAACTTGCGTCATTTATGGCGTAGGCGAGATATCCGTCTATCAACCAAAGGACGGGTTTACTGCGCACCAGTTCGTTCCGTCCTACTTTATGGCAGTGAAACATGGCCGGTAAGAGTAGAGGATATCCGTAGGTTACTAGTATTCGATCATAGGTGTCTTCGAAACATTGCTCGTATATCATGGGACCATCGAGTAAGTAACACAGTTGTTAGGAAACAGGTACTAGGTAAGGATGGCAAATCAATTGATGAAGTAGTGAAACTTCATCAGTTGAGATGGCTGGGACACGTGTTACGTATGCCCAACCACCGACTACCTCGACGTGCTATGTTCAGTGGTATAGGAGTAGGTTGGAAGAAAGCTAGGGGCGGCCAAACCAAAACATGGCACAAGTCCATGAAGTCACTGACAAGTGGACTGAGTCATGTTGGTAGGTGTAGACTACCTGGTTGGGGACCGCGAGATGATAGCAACCGATGGTTAGAGACCTTGAATGACATGGCTGAAAATCGTTTGCAATGGCGCAGGTGCATTCACTCTTTGTGTTCTCCCAAACTCTAATCTTCTGAATTCTTCATGTCCCTTTTTTCCTCTTTCCAAACTTGTTTCACTGGATTATACTCTTTAATTAACATCTCCAAACCCTAATCTTCCCGATTACTGCTTATACTCTTGCTACCTCTACCACTACGGGATTTGAATCGACCACTGCATCTCTGTGCTAATGTGGTGTGGCAACTCGAACTGATGTACGTACGTACGAAGTTCTACGTTGTTACTGACTGACTGACTAACTGGTGAGCGATAGCCCTAGAATATAGGTTTTAGGAGATATTTACTTTATTCTATCCCTTGAACAAAAGTGAGTTGGAGTTTTAACCTCCTGTCAACTTGTTCGAAGTCTGTACTCGAAACACCGAGCAAAAGAACAATACTAAGTAGCCGTAAAATATTATGTGCAGCAATTGTTTCTCCCTCTCTTGTGGGTCATTAATAGGTGCCATCGGGTTTTCAAACGTGATATGATGTGTTTCAATAAGCCAAGTCAACAGATACAAACGATTATTTTGGATTTACTAGCATCATTCAAATAAAGTAAAATATCATCAACATTTTAAGATAAAAGTTTTTCAAAGGGATAATACTTGAATAGCATTGAAGTTCTTTGATAATCACCACTCTCTTGTGATAAGATCACACCATCTTTACACATTTCGAGAAAGTTGACAGGATAATTGTGGTGGTATTGCATTCCAAATTTTCTACAAATAAATTATCTCAGAGTGTGGATTTGTATCGTACCAATAAGTCAGTCTTGTCTAATTAGTTATCATATCTAGTAATGATAATGAAGTTTTGATCCAAACATTGATGGCCAATATATTTTCAGACTTACTGTCAAATTTTCGTTTCTGACATAGTACCACATCAAGGCATTCCTAATCCTCAGAGGAACCTTATTACAAAATAGCACTATAATAATAATGCTTCCAGACTAACTTTGCATGAGTCGTGTATAACTTGTTTTTCAAGTGATTGTGAGTAGAAAACCTTAGTAATATAGTAAAGTACAAAGCTAAAAGATTAAAACAATGATACTCCATTCGCAAGTGTGTATAATATTTTGTGAATTCAATACTTACACGTAAGTGATTATTCATTCTACGCGCTGTTCTAGCTCCCAATATATACCCACGAGTACTGATAATCTTCTTGTTGAACTTGTTAGCCATTGAAGTCTATAACAAACTCAATTAAAACATTCTCAACTTATTAAATTCACTTCAATGTCATAGGTTGTCGGTCCAACAAATCCATTCCCATTTATTGGTGCCAGTGTTATACCAAGACGATGATGAGGTATAGCTTCTGGATAGAGAGATCGTTCCTGACATGAGCCAAATGCATATGGCGTTTTTGTTTCCGCTAGAACTGCTACAATCGAAAAAGCGTTATACTGTAGAACGATGTACGTAAATAACTGATCGTCTTGTTAGTACTAATCCATAGTGGGTTGCTTATAACACCTGGCAAACCGCCAAGTTGACATGATTACAATCGCAATTAGTTTAATTACACACTCGTTTTATTATATTCTCATTTTGTTTGACAACTACAACACAAAAGCTTCGAAAACTCGTAAAATCAGTCTATTAGCCAGAAACTGAGTTTTAATTATTTTTCGACGAATCTGCGATCGAAACCCTCAACGAGTGGTTCTCTCACTTCACTAGATGAATGCAGCTTCTTACATAGGACTAATACGAAACAGATTGGATAAGCTAACAAGATTCGAAATTAAAATCAGATGAAAGTATTCTAGCCTTCTTTTCTTAAGGAACAGCCAACAACAGTGAGTAAAAAACAATAAATCATGATGATCAAGAGTAAATTGGATAAGCAACACACAAAAACGCGATATTATCCGGGGGACATTAGGATACAACGAATGATTGGTAAGAAAAATCCTCAATCTATGTATTTATTCACCGTTCTTTCTGGGACAGATCATTTTGTGGCATCGTGATTATTTTCACTCGCTAGCATTTGATTTAGATACCAGAGGATGTATGACTCGATTTCCTGTGTTATGAAGCTCTAAATAAACATGTGTTTATTAGCTTGCTGTAGTTTTTCAGGCAACTATACTCTGTCTGGTTGTTGCCTGAAGTTTGAGTGGAGTGTTTTTTCGCAAACTTTTGAAATCATACTCTTGAATTTTGCTTTCTATGTACAAGTGACTTATTATTCTTTCCCCAATCCATCGAATCTTGAGGAAAATTCCGTCTGATAGAGACACCTATTTGTATTCACTACGGTCTATAGCCAGTAGGAGGAGTACTGAACAGCTTAGCGCTGAAGTGAAAAGCAATATCCAGACTATCTCATGATTTCTAGTTCTAATCAGTTTTGGTTTTATGTACATAAACGAACATACTCAAGTACATGGTCGTATGCGTTCGACTACAATAGGGGTAATTAACTCATAGGGGCATCCAAAGCTTAAAAAAGACACGCATAGAAATGAAAAACAATCGAGTGTCCTGGAAAATTTGTTATTAACCTTTAATTTTCTCAATTGCACCTTCGTTATCATAATAATTCATAACTTGTCCGACCTTGGAAGTCACGACGACCAATAAGCAACGTCCAATATACAATAATTTCAGACATCTGTAGTAAGTGCAATCGAGTCATGTTATTCCTCATGATATGAAATACTGCAAAGATTCAGCGTCTCCTTGAATATATCATCGACAGTGCTGATATAACGTGTTCTGACAGGGAATATCACTAATTACTACTCTACGTGAGAAATGGTGAACGGATGTAAATCAGCTTCAGATTCAGTTTGAAAAGGACAGGAGGCTTGATGGCCTGTGTTAGTCCTGGCGATGGTGGTCTCTCAGTTGATCCAACTTTCTTCTGAAAGAGTCGACGGATGGAGCCTTAACCACGTGCTGAGTTATTGAATTCCACTCGTTGATGATTCGATGGAAAAGTCGATAGTCAGCTGACAAGCAATTTATCCTGGGCTTGTTAACTTTTTTGGAGTGTCCTCGTAAGTTCTCTGTTTTGGAAGACAAGAAAAATGAGAGCATGCCAGGTGCAAATTTATCACTAAGCAATTTGAAAACTGTAATCAAGTCGCCTCTAATTCTACGAAGTGACAACGGGAATAGTTTTAGCTTGACCAGTCGAGCATCATACAGGAACTGCACTATTCCGGGAATCAGCTTAGTTGCTGTTCTCTGAACGTTTTCCAAAATGTTACTGTCTTTTTAAGCAGGGGCTAGCCGCTTGTATACAGTACTCAAGTTTAGGACGTACGAACACTGCATAGAAAGTAAAAAACGTTTCAGCGTCGACACGAGTAAAAGGCTTACGTATTGACCATAAAGTTCTATGACCTTTGTTGGCTGTTGCACGGCAGTTTGCAGTAGTCTTTAGGTCTTGGCTCACGATGACTCGTAAGTTCTCGTGTGCCCGGACAACAAGCAGCTCAATGTTATTCAGCACTTATGTATCAGTACCTTGATGACCAACATGCATCACAATGCACTTGGAAGTACTTTTCAGCAACTGCCAGGTTTGAGACCATTCAGATAATTTCTCCAGGCCATTTCGGGGTTCTAAGCTGTCACCCTTACTTCGTATCGCTCTCCATATCTTGTGATCGTCAGTATATAGCAAGACCGACGATGATATTAGACGAGGAAGGTCATTTGCATACAAGAGGAGTAACATTGGCCCCTAAACTATGCCCTGAAGCACTCCACTAAGCACAGTTTTCCAGCTGGACAATTTGGAGTTCACCTGTACTCTTTGTTGGTGCTCAACTAGGAAGTCTTTTATCCACATTGATTGATTGCCTTCCATTCCGACATTTCCTAGCTTATATGACAGCCGGTTATGAGGAACTTTGTCAAAGGTATTGCTTAAGTCACTGTAGGCTACGTCTATAGGTAACTTTGTCTCTAAGATCGCACCGGATTTCACTAGCCACTGATAATTTAGTAAGACAGGAATAAACTACTCTAAAACCATGCTGCTTTTCCGAAAAATCGGGTTTTCATCAAGATACTTAAACAGCCTTTTCCAAATAATCTTTTTCTAAAATTTCAACAACCACACTAGTTAGGCTAACGGGTCAGCAATTCTCAAGTTTATGTTCCGTACCTGTTTTGAAGACAGGACTTACTATGGCGTTTTTCCAGTCTTTTGGTAAATGACTCTGGGTTACAGAGAGATTAAAACATGTACTTAGGCGGTTCACGACGAAATTAGCTAGTTCCTTTAGAAACCTAGGATGTAGCTCATCATAACCTATGGACTTCTATATGTCAAGCTTATTTGACAGACCAAAGGTATCGAGTTCTTTAATGCTCACACTGCCCAGTGTTTGTGTGTCGGGATTTCTGTCAACTGACAGGAAGGGTGTTCCCACGGTATATACATTGCTAAAAGAGTTTGAGAATACTTGGGCCTTACCATAGTCGTCCTCCACCAATGATGACGCAGTACTGTCTCTCCATAAGGTAGGAATATTTCCTCTTCTTTTGGTCCCTTGGTTTATAAAGAGATAAAAGCTTGTGACATTCCATCGATTTCTTGACAAATTTCTCTTCGTGCAACTTAATAGACTTACGGAGGGTCGATGCTCAGGTATTCCGAGCTTTTCTATACTCAGATTGTCTCATCAGTCCCCAGTAACCTTATGGTATCCCACATTTTTGTTCTCTTACGGAGACGGGTGCGAACCTTTCCACTGAACCATGGCGGAGAGTTTTTCGGTCTCCCTGATGTAGTCAAAGTGATGTGGTGCAGTAACTTTTAAGTATAAATTTTTAAATAGCCAAACTGTTTCAGCTGGGGACTAAGGGTCTATTTTCCAATCTACTGACGATGCTGAGTGCATGATTTCTTGCATGTTTGTTTTCCAGACGTCAGGTCTGGATTGAACTGACGTGTTCTCGTGATTGACAGTTATACGGAAGTCAAAAGCCAGAACTGCACGATCAATTTAACCTAGACGTAGCGTGTAACCAAGCTTCGCTACGACATCCTCAACGTGAGTTAACATAAAATCTGGTAAGGATGATTCAGAGTCCGGGTAGTACCTAGTCGCTTCTTTCATATGTTGCACTAGAAAACTCACGATAACGGCATAAACTACTTCCTGATCGAAGGGATTCCTTTGATCGAGTATTGTACTGCACATTTACAGATTCCCACGTTGATAGAGCGCCAGATACCCATACTTTTCGTGCCCTAAAGTAACCCTCGTGTTATTGATAGAAGAAACCAGACAAGTAGTGAATAGGTCTTTATTTCGATCTTAGCGCGGTGACAGTGGAACATGGGATTATCTGTTCAGACAAACAAAGGCTCTCAACAGTCAATATAAGATAATAGGGAATATAACGCTTATACAAAACAAGGAAGTGAATGAATACTTGAACAATACTGTTTTGGCATATGCTTGGTTGTTTGGGGTCAACTCTGAACCAACCAACCTTAGCTGTTACATACTCTCAGTCTTCTAATATTGTGAAAACTACTTTTTCGATCCACCATTACGCCATGAATCTCAAAACGTCTCAGTTTCAATCAAGGACCGGGTGGGACACCTTGTCGATGCTTTTCTTGGAACTATAAAAACTACACTTTTCCAAATTATTTAGAGTAGCCATCCAACACGCTGGTATACGAACAGAGCGCTCCTTACTATCTATTTCTGCACAGACTGTTTCACTAAGTTGACTGATACTTGTGTTATTCAAGTCTCTTACCATACGAGACTGCTTCAAAACATTTCAAACAGTATTATCAGAGGTTCAGCAGTTACATCGTCTGACAATTACATAGTTCATGTGGGGCTCGAACCCATGATTCTAACTATCAAAATCACTCCAACTCACACAAATCCCCAATCGATTATTAACCATCATGTGCTCACTAATGGCTGACGTCAATGTGGATTTCCTGGTGTTCTAGTGTGAAGCCGTGACCAGTAGAACACAATATACGTCAAGTACAGAGAGAAGTATCGACCTCGGACATTGGATAAATAGTTGCGCAAAACTATGGATCGATTAAAGTTAGATATTACCGCTGTTCAGTAGCGGCTTGATAGTCTAAAGTTTAAGCGTTCGTGCGCGATACCGAAGGTCATGGGTTCCAGTCCAGTATGAAGGATCGTGGATTAGCGCTGCGAGGGGGTCCCATACTAAGACGAAACAGCCATCCAATGGTTTCAGATTTTCAAAGATGATCTAGCTTACACTGACTTATGAGTTCAATTTTTAAAGTCACAACAAACTTCACGAACTTTACATTTCCTGAACAATGATCTTTCCCATAAACGTTTATCCTTATCAAACACCGCTTCAAATGCACTTCTAGTCCTAAAGCAAGTGAATCTACACCATTCAGACCCCAAAGCTTGCATACATCTGACACCCTTCGTTGAAGCGCATGGCCCACCTATCACAATTCCTTATCCAACTCGTCCCCTTATAATCCATTTCGCTCGATCCCAGATGCTATTAATCCTCTCCATGTCTGCTTCCTTCTGATGGTATCCGGTCAACGGACACTGAGTATCTTAAGTAGCTGATTGTTCGAAAATACTTGTACGTATTTCATGATTGTTGTGATAGTTCTCCAAGTTTCAGCTCTGATTCAGGTTTTCACTTGAAATTCCCTGTCAGCTGTTCTCCACGCACGAATTGACAGTGTAGTTCGTTGTGTGAATTTAGTGTATTGTTGACCATATACTCACGCACTCCATAGAGTCGGAGGAGCTTATGAAGATGTTATAGTTCTTCAGGGTTTGTCAATTCTACCGCGATACCTACATAAAAAACTCCTGTCAGGCGAATCATCAAAGTCAACGATGCAGATGTTTAGTAACGAGTTCCATTCAGCTGATTGTTTAAACGTCATCCGTAGTCTCGCGATTTGGTCTGTTCACGACCGATCCTTAAGGACTCCGGTCTGTTCTCGAAATTGTAAACCTACTGAGATTTTGACCGGGTTCAGTAACACTGTTCCAAACGTTTCCCTGTACTCAAAGCGGTGTGATTTCTCTGCAGTTCTGTCATTTGCTCAGATATTCTTCCTTTGAAATCTATGTGAATTGTCATTCTTTCCAGTGAAATCATTTGTCCATCTTTCGAATACTACTGTATACAGTGTAAACTCTGCTTGCGGTTACTTCTGCGTCTGGCTGATAACTGATTTGAGTGCAACAGCTGGTAATATTGTAAGATCCAACTGCTTACCCAATCTTGATTTGGCAGACATACATCCTGACTTCTTTGTGTGGTATCCAAACTACGGTTTTGATAGAAGAATAGCCGACCGGGGACTTTAGACACGCTCCCTTTCCCGTCGAAATCAAAACAAGTAATCGGGTAAATAGCGGTCCTATAATTCATCATAAATTTAAATGTAAATCGTTACCTAAACAAGTATTACCACCCGGCTATTCAACCAATAATTGTTCAATCAATCAAATCTAAATTACAATAAATAAAGAAGTTGATAGAAGATGAGGGAAAATTACCAGTCACGACAAATGAACGTTATTCTATCCTGACTGGATAGAACACACACAAAAGGAGGAGCGAATCAATATGG